CGGCGCGCAGCGGCCGCCCGGCCCCGGAAGGACTCGCGGGCCCGCGGCGGGACGACCAGGGCCTGGGCGCGCTGCTGCGGTTCTGTCGTGCGCACCGTCTCGGGTCCGTGGGAACACCGGAGAGGCTAAGCGCACCGCTGCGCCTTAGAGCGGTGGGGAAGCTCGGGGAGACTTGAGCGGGAGCGGATGGGGTCGTACCCGGGCAACACGGGGCGGGAAGGGAGCTGCCCGGGCCGAGCCCGGGGCAGGCCCGCCTTGGGGTGAGTGGGAAAGCGAGAGCCCTTGGCGGGGTGAGTTGGGAGGCGTCGCGCGCCTGATCCACCCTCTCCCCAAATCACACATATGCCGGGCGCCTTACCCATCGAACTCTCCAGGTGAGAAGCGGCGCGTGTTTTCCGGGAGGGGAGGGTTTTGAGGAACAGCTACGGAAGGCCCGGGCGCCTGGGACGCCGGTTGGCAACTCCTTCCCTCTAAGGGAGAGAGGGAAGAAAAGACCACGCCCGGCGGGGCCGCCTCGTGGCTGTCCTGCAGGAAAGCTGGTGGACAGGCCCTGAGGCTCGGCACCGTCTGGGCCCAGGTCTGGGCTGCCGCCCCTGGCGACCCCTCACGAGGCCAGGCAGCCACCCAGGACCCTGGAGCCGGGGGAGCCTCTTCCTTCAGAGCTTGGCCCACCAGTTTTCGTTGCCCATTTTCCGCATACTCCGATTCCTGTGTCTGGGACCGTTTGGGAAAACACCGTTGTTAAAAGTGTCTGGAAATGCTTCATTTTGTTTTGTTCTGCTCTAGCAGAGGAGGGCGCGAGCCCCGCAGTTGAGCTGCTTTTCTCTGCCGCAGCATTCTGGTCCTTCTTGGTGCCTTCAAGGGGTCACTACATACATCACCTGTTTGATATTCTTTGATATATACTCGCCCAGGAAAGACACACCTTTTATTGTTGCTTGTTTGTTTGAGGGGAGCTGTGGGGAGACCCCGAAGTCACAGGTGGCAGGGCAGAGAGACACGTCAGTGCAAGCTGTCTCACCCGCTGACTTGTGTACCCCAGGTCTGGGCTTCTCAGGGGACCCTCGGTGCTACCTTTAGGGAGAGCAGAAGCCCTGATTTGTGAGGATAAAGTAGGGCATTGCCAATTTCGTGTTCAGGAGACACAGTGGACGTGCCGGGGTCCTGAGAGTGAAGGAACTGATTTGAGCAGTTCCCAGCTAGTAGCGCTGAGAGGGGGTCACAGACTTGGTAACCAGCCCTTCCTCCCCTCCCGAGGGCTGCAAGACTTTGGTCTCAGAATTCCCTCTTTCTTCTCCAAGGCTGACCCTGGAGACCACGTTTCCCATCTGTGTATGGCGTCCTGTGAGGATAGCCTTAGGAGAGCAGAAGGTGCCACCCTTCCTGCGTCATAGAGACCCATGTTTGGCTCCCAGGAACAGAGAGACTGGGAGACGAGGCATCTTCCAAGCTCAGGAAAGGGGTGGTGGTTGGGTGCGAAGCTGCTATTGTCAGTCAGGGAGTCCTGCAGGGAATCCCAGAGGGTGTGTGAGTCGGAGGTAGGGTGGCTGCCATTGGAGCAGGATCTGCAGCCCTGCTTGGTTTGTTGACACACCTTAGCTTGAGCTCCAGATTCCTTTTGCCTAGTCTTCCAACATTCCCCATGGCAGCGAGGGCTATTCCAAAGACCTAACGTATGGTCAGATGGTCACAGTCCATGGTTCTGTGTGAGAAGTTGTTCTGTACGAGCCAGTACAGTGCAGTTGCAGGCAAGTTATAAGCTTCATTTCAAAAACTGTCCTTTCCCTAACTTCACCTTCTTGGTATGACACCACATTTAGAAAAATCTTCTGGAGACCCAGAATATGTTGCTCTTTTTTTTTTTTGGTAAGGGAAGGAATTTGGGAACATCCAGTTTTTGCATAAAGAGTCTGTTAGCGGTCAGAAAGCAACTGGGACCAGGCCTGCGTTTGGGGTAGAGGTGTGGGGGGTGAGTGACCCTGTTTGCTTGTCCTCACAGGTGTTCTGATGCCAGCTTCCTGGCTAGATTTCCTGTTTCTTCACTTTGCTTTTTTTTTTTTTTTTAAAAGCACACCATTTTTTGGAGGCATTCTGTAATTGATTTGAGCAAACACCAGAGCTAAAACCTGAGAGTTGAGCTTTATCTTTATCAACCTGCAGTTGGGAGGCTTCTGGAAACCCACACTCTACAGCGCTCCCTGACTGGTGGTGGATGGGGTGGGCTCATGCTGGGGTGAGCTCAGGGTCCTCACAGCCTTTCCTTCCCTGGGTCCTGTGCCCTCCGAAGCTCCCGCTGAACTGTGCCAGTCCTGTTGTCCTGAGACCACACAGAAAGAGTGTGCCCTTTTCCCCTCTGCGGTCTGTCACTCCCCAGGGTCACCCCAAGCAGCCATGTTAAGGAGACAGATGAGTTGAGTGGGGCGAACTTGGGTAAGCAAGCTTCCAGCACAGTCAGGTTTTTATGATTTTTGTATAACAGCGCTGGTTCATTTTAGTCATGAGTTAGTTCATTTAGAGAATTGTAGCTGCCTGGTGGGTGTTGCAAAGAGGTAATAAGGGAATGAGATATTTTATTTAGTTAAACATGAGCAAGCTTCCTAGATTTCATTTAATCCAAAGTTTTGTCTTTGGGTTTTTAGATGACTAAAGGGTTTTACCTGGGGAGTTCACACTTCTTCCTCCCAGGAGTCTTATTGTTCACAGCAGAGAGGACGGAGGCCAGGCACGGGGCTGGGTCTTCTAGGGAATGCTCCTCTCCGCCATCCAGAGGGGCTCTGATAGGTAACATTTTAAAGTCAACAACAAAGACAAATACCTTGTTTGACTTCAGTGTCCTTGAAGTCCTGAGCATTTTACTGATTACCGTAGTCAATAGTGGCTTTTAGGGCGGAGAAGAATAAATCTTTGTGATGTGTTGTAAGTTGCAGGGTCCCCATGACAACTTTGTGTAGGATGCTAGTTTCTTTTAAACTTAACACATAACTCAAGAAATGAAGAGAAAGGAGACTTGTGTTGTAGGGTAAATAGTATTAATGGATTAATGAGTTTTTATGCTAACGTTGTATTTAAATATCTTTACCACACAGTTGATGGTAGACACAAGCTACACCCTGCAGGGAGATGAGAAAGAATAGAAAGCTTCTTTGTCAGCACAATCTTCAACTAAAATTTTAAAGCATAATGTTTATTTACTCTTGAAAGTGATTCAGAAATGCTCCTTCAAGAATGCCAATCTAGAACTTTTAAGCCCTCTACAGTCTAAAGAATCCTAAGCAGTAAGACACTTATTTTTAAAAAAAATCTGTACTTGATAAATACCTATCTCATAGATAATATTTATTCCTTCATCTTTAACCTTCTTCAGGGGAAGTAATAAGTGTTACAGCAATTTACTGTCAATTAAGATTTGCTTTTATTAGCAGGTTTAGCTTGGTCGTGATTCTACAAACTGACCAAATAATAAAACGATGTAAATTAAACACATCTTAAGTAGACTGTAAAAATCGAAACGTTAGCATAGGTAAACAAAACAATTTTGTGTATCACTGGGAAGCGCTCAGTAATTTTCTCAGTCAAATATCAACTTTTTGTAAAGATTTTGCAGACAGAAGCCGTCAGACCCACTTCTCAATGAGAATCTTTAAGTGTTTGATCCCTTGTGGCAGGAAATACAGCTTAAATTCTGCGCTTAATAATGTTAGTGCTTGATTTCCCCCAGAGAAGACCTGAGTCATTTTCTCATTTCCAATTTCAAGTTAATTAACAAGTGCCCAAGAGCAGTACTTTCCGTGTCACTCGTCCGTTTCTTTCGTTGTGATCTAGATGGGTTAAGTCGCTTGTCTGTTGTTTACCGGAGGAAAGGCTGGCTAGGAAGGACGGCCCACACGGAAAATACTTTTCAGAGTTTCGGGGGCATAGAAGCCGGGGAGGCAGCCTCCCTGTGCCTGGGGGCGTCCGCGGGCTGCCGCGGGGGTCGGCGATCGCGAGGCTCGCGCGAGTTCGGCCAGCGCCATGCTGCGGAGATGACGGATTCCGGGGACAGCCTGAGCAGGGGTCAGGGCACCGGACCAGCCTCCCCACAGCTCCTCTGAGACTCGGAGGTCCCCCGCCACCGGCGCTGTCTCCGGCTTTCCCGGGATGTCCCCGGGGACGCCCGGGGGGTGCAGGAGCGTTGCACTAACGGCCCGCGGCTCCGTGGCCACCGGGGCGCAGCCCGGGCTCGGGGCCACGCCGCCCCCTCCGAGCCGAGCGCGCCGGGCGGCCGCGGGCGGGCGG